AGCGCCTCGCCGCCACCCGGTGGACCCGGTAGCCCGGCAGCCGCGCCGGAAACACCGCCACCGTTGCCCAGCCAGAGGGAATTGTCGCATCCGTCCTCGGCAGTGGCCGCGGCCAGTTATTTCAGCGCTGCCGCCCTGGCAGCGGCCGGTTTTTACAATCCGGCGGCCCATTTGCCGGCAACCAGCTCGCCTGGACCGACGGCGCATCATCTGCAAGGAAAAGGGATCCTCAGTAGCGCGCACCATCATCCGCATCTGAACCCGCACGGCATCACGCCACCAGGTGAGCGAAAACGGTGCTTTCGTTTAACGCCTTTCGGATCGTTCCAGTGTTTTGTGACGACGCTGTGTTTCGAAAACGATACGAGTCGATTAGAGCCGATGGTGGTTAGTGTTCCGACTTGGACCTAGTTGAACGTCTGCCGGCTCGTTTATAGATGTTTTCGCTCGATTTAGGCTCGCGAACTCTCGCGAGGATCGATAGGATCCAGTGCAAAGTGCAGTCATCGTTGTTGTTTCGTTGGTGAACCAAGTTTCCGAACTGAAGTGAGCGTCGAGAGGTCGAATAGCTTTCTTCGTGAATAAAGTTCCCGGCAAAGTGCGTCATGGTGATCGAACTGTGAGTGCTGGATCGAGTTAGGCTCTTCTTCGAGTTAGAAATTCTGTTTGTTCGAAAAAGAGGGTCGAACGCTAGAGAGTACCGAGTCGAGAGACGGAAGATCCGTAGTCTTTTGCGACAGAAGAACAGGTTGTAGATCGATAAGACGTATCAAACAGCTCCAGTCGTAATATCCAGTTCTGTTAGCCGGCTGAGTTAATCGGTGTCGAGACAAATAGAATCGCGGCTCTTCGTTGAAAGCCGGTGATTTCAGCAACAGTAAACTCGCGCCGTCGTCTAGATTGAGATGTAAACTCACGTTCGCGAGTGTTTAGCTCCGGCTTTCGAGTGCCAGAGAAAATGGAATCTCGACGAACCGTCGTTTCTCGTCGAAAATAACATCTCGTGTCGACGTTGTTTAAACGGTGGTTGGTAAACCAACGACTCCTAACCGAGATTCAAGATGCAACCACGCGATCCTATCGTTGTCACCGAAATCCGAACTCTCGCCAATCTTTCATTCGCGTCGATATCGATATTTTTGTTCTTTCGAGTCGTCAGTTATTCGGTACACCGTGTTGTTACTAATTTATGCCATAAAGATAGACAATTTCCATAGTTATATCGGGAAAGCAGGCGATTCTTAAACAATTTCATGCTTTTAAGGGAAGAAAATGAATGAAATACATTTATTAAGAATGTCCATTAACGATAGAAGGTTTTTATTCTTCACAACCTCTAAAATCTTTGTAAATTATTATGCTACATCGATTTGTTTATATCAGACTTGCCAGTCTGTCTATAAACATTGACTATGGACGATCGAAACCGTACATTCCTGAAAATTACCATTGTGTTCATGAAAATTGAAGGTAGTTCTGTTCAATGATCGTTGAAAAATAATTTCTGAATTGGTTGATATTAATTAGTAGCTTTTCACAAATTTAATTTGTCGAGCAATGCATCGTTCGTTCGATTTTTTCAATTTTTCTTATTAAATTTTGAGCAAATGAAGCAAAGGACGTTAAATGAATATAAACGCGTGATATTTTATAATATTTGTTTCTTTTTATGATACAGAATTCAACGTTTAAGTAGATTTATGAAATTCTTTATGTTGTTTGTCCAATTTTGCGAGCATAGTATGGTTAATTTGAACAGAAATTTGCCTGACATAACTCTGTTGTTGTTCTTCAACAATTCAGTAACATCGTGTATATGTTTAAAGAGCCAGTTGCAACATATTAGTTTGAAATGAATGTTGCGCAACTAACAGTGTTTTTAAAAATGCAAAGCAATGCTTGTAGAAAAAAGTTGAACAATTACTTAAAAAGGAAACAAGTTTTATTATAGTAACACAGATAGGGATCGATATGAAAAAAATAAAAATAGCAATAAGGCTACAAGGCCTAAATGTATTTATTCCTTCACTCCTCTGCAACTCGTCTAGAAATTCTATATAAAGATATAAATGTTCCACTATCATTGAGCAAGTTCACGGTAGAACAAGGAGAGTCACGTGTTTCAGAATTCAAAATTTTCTAACTGCGTTTGAAAGAAAAGCGTCCGTCATAGAAAAATACTCTGTCATTTAATTAGCCTATCTCTTAGACTTTTACAAGGGACAAGGTGCTGTTTGATAAAGTTTTATTTATCATTTGCAACACATAGTACTAACATTGTTCTGTTTTTGCTATGTACGAGGTGACTGTATCTTCCTAGAAGGAAAGACAAATTTTATTATTCTTGTTAAATTTTGATGGTGCTTCTTTTTCAAAATTTTTCTGGATTTATCATATGGAATTCTTATGAGAGTTCGATCTTTCAGTGAAGGCACAAGAGTTTTAATAGTGCCATAAAAAATAACACTCGCTGGATGACAGGTTTGGGAGGTTAAGGTACTCAAGGTATTCTCCTTTTTGGCGAATATTCTATTCTTAATGGTATTACTACGTTTCATAAAATTTTCGCTAGAAAATTAAACAGTTTAGAAATATCCAACACCGATTTCCAGAAAAACGTAACCGTATAAGTAAATATTGTATTTGACGCTGTCATGTTACTTTTTACCGCACAATTATAATTTTCAATAACTATAAAATTACACGAGTAGTTACATCATACCCTGTACGTGCAAATTTATTTTCATCCTTTATTCACTTATTCGTTGCGAACGTCGAATCAAGAACACTCGCATCCAAAGCCAGTTGTTCTAACTTTAAGGGCTAGCAACTTGAATCGACGTTCAAATTTTTCGCATCGGTGGATTCGTCGAGGATTTTACAAGCAGGATCGCTAATCATCTCAGAAGACGCACGCTCGGCACGCGAGAGAACTGTTTCATCGTTTATTCATCCGCGCCGATGGCAAGATACATTTATTTCCACGAGGTTACCGTTCCGATCGGTTTGTTAACGTGGTCAGCCGTGTTTTCACTTGGTCGAGACAGCCAGGGCTGTCAATCTTCTCCCGACGACGTTGTTAGACGTTACATCGATCTACGGATCGTGAATTTCGACGGAGATTCATCGAGGATCGGTTAGACGGTGACTGGGTAGCAAACTTGGATCGTTTCGACGTTTCTCCTTTCGGTGGTGGTTAATTATTACGCGATTTCTTCATGGTATTCGGTTGTTAAACGATGGACAGGTGATATTCTGAAGGGGAGTATTATCTCGTAACGATTAACGAGCGATCACGTAGTTCCGTGAACTTGCTGCTGCAAAATCTGATGTCTCCTGTGTCATAATTTTGTTGAAATTAACAGAGAATCGATGTTTACCATTAAAGTAGATCATAGGCAATTAAGGCAGTTTGCTAATATTTTGATTTATGCGCTAAATTTTGCACGAAATTGTCCAAGAATCTGCTGCACGAATTTAATTTAGCCTTTTTTGCGATCAAACGTGGCATAACGTAATATCGTAGCCGAAATATGGAAGTTAGTTCAAGACAGATAGTGTAATGTTTAATTAACAGATAGGACAGTTGAGGAATTAAATAATTTTACTGCAATAATAGTGTTCGCGTGGAATTTCTAAGCAGTGAGCTATTAGTGACGATAAGTCAGTAATACCCTTCACGAGTCTTGAAACAGTATTCGATGTTTTACGCGTTGCAGTGTCGAATGTGCCAATGTTTGTTTGTTAAACGGAAATAAACAGCCATTCCGTCATAGTAGAGGTATTGTACTATTATACAGCAGGTTTGTTTTAATCGCACATTTCATGTGAGACTCTCAAGGAACGAGTTGCTTAGGAAAATTTATAGTGTACAATTTAGTTTTCGCGATGCTGGAATATTAATCGTTGTATGCGATCAGACAAAATTTCCGTCCACGAATTGAAAATTGTAAAAGAGGAATGGAGCGATGTGTTTAGGCACCATTTTGAGGCGTGCATATTCTTCCACGGTTAGCAAAGAAAAGGACTGTTAGTTTTCTGATTATCAACTTGAAAATCGTAGAGGAACTCGTTCATTTGTCGTTAAAAGCTCGAAGTTGTGCGCTTGTTAATTTCCATGATCATGAGTTCGCATCTGTTCGCGTTAGGTAGCAATTAAAATAAAATTAAAGGTGGAAACTCGACAGATCGGTTCGAAGTTACAGGGAAATTCATTAATTCCGTGATCGGAAGCTCGCGTTTGCACCGTGCCAGCTGTCAATTAAAGTGTAACTAAAGCTAAAGCTCTCTCACCTGTCCGAATCGGTGATTCATTAATTTTGCACTTGCAAAATATTCCTCGTTTCCTTTCGTAACCTGTCAATGCAATTCAAATGAAAATCGAATTTCGCGCTTTCTAATATCGAACGATTGTTTGCACGAGAAACATTAATTAAACATGTAAGCTTAATATCGGTAAATTTGTCGTGACACAACATTCGAGTTTACACATCATTTTTCTTTACGTTCCAAGTTAATCGAGTATCAACAGTTATGTATAGCATATGCGAATTGAAAATTACAGTCATATCGTATTCGATACATTTTCATTTTCTTCTACTTTCGAAGATTAAATTAATATTCTTTCTGGAAAAATACACAATGATACTAGTATGAATATTTAAAAAATTTTAGCTGAAGTCTTAGACGATAATGTTTCACTTCTCGAATTAATAAATAATTGCGATTCTGCTTCGAACAAACTTTAGCTAAAAATTCACGATTCGAGCGCTCATTTTCGCCACGAAGCGTTGTGGAAATACAAAATGGAGGTTCACGAGCGTGTACATCGACGAACGACGCAGCAAAACACGTTCTATCGAATATGTTCAAAATTGAATCGTTCGATTAATTCGAAACTAAAAATTGCTCAAAGATATTTGTGACTACTAAGGTATTCTTTGACATTTATCCTCTCGATACTTTGCATCATAATTAAAAGAAAAAGCCCAGAACATTCTCGGATTAAATAATTTCAACTTCATCTTTCGAACAAAATTGATACATATCTTTTGGAACTAATATTCTTCTGTCACGTGCATTGCTGGCGTATTGCCATCGTCTACCGGAAGTTGTTTTTCGCGCGTGTTACGTATCGTATCCGACGGGAGAAGTCATCATTATCGGTAGGAGCAGATTATCGATAACTTCTTTCACCGATATAAAGCACCTGAGCATAATTCAAAGGAAAAAGTATCGGAATCTCATTGAGCAATGGCTGCAGCAACGCAGGAAAAACGATAA